TTAAATGAGGAGTTTCACCGCGTCAACACAGTGAAGTCTGGCTGTAATTTAGGGATGTAATAATGAACAACAATCTCTGTCTTCCTCCTTCTGCCTCCCTCTTTAAAGGGGAAAACAAAAAAACAAAACACGTACAGCGCACTAATCGTTTCATGTGATACTTTATTTAAAATACTAAATGCAACGTTATAGATATAGAATTAATTTCAAGCACTAAAATATCCGTTAAGGAAAAAAGCTTTGATAAACACTGTGGGGCATTCATTTAATTTATCTCTGATTATTTCATTTGTAGTAGTAGTAGTAGTAGTAGTAGTAGTAGTAGTAGTCAATAACAAAGTTAAATATCACAATTTACGACACCCAATCTGATACTGCTTTAAAAAACAACAAACGCTTCACGCCTTGAGTCCGTCGCCATCTTGTTTTTTTGCAAACAATGACAGCTGATCAAACTTGAACTGAGGAGGGCGTCGAGACCTGTCAATCAGCGTGTTAGGCCCGCCCTAAAACATCCCCCACTCTGTTTGGCTCGGACCATAATTTACTAAATGAACATCAGGCTGTGTTGAAACTAGAGACTGAGACCATAAACTTATGTTTACAATGATTACTGAGGGAATAAATCAAGAGGGAAGTAGAAGTAAATCTCTGAAGCCTCTCCAGTTGATTCAGAATGCTGCAGCACGTGTATTAACAAGAACTAAGACAAGGGATCATATCACTCCTGTATTAACTTCTCTGCACTGGCTCCCTGTTAAATCAAGAATAGAATTTAAGGTCCTTCTCCTCACCTACAAGGCACTTGCTGGTGAGGCACCGTCGTATCTTAAAGAGCTTGTAACACCTTATTTCCCTACAAGGCAGCTGCGCTCCACAGATGCTGGTTACTTGTTGTTCCTATGGTTTTAAAAAGTAGGCTGGGGGCCAGAGCCTTCAGTTATCAAGCTCCTCTTTTGTGGAACCAGGTACCACTTTCAGTCCGGGGGGGCAGATTGGGTCAGCTCTTCTAAGATAAAGCTTTAAACTTTCCTCTTTGATTCTGCCTATAGTTAGGGCTGGCTCAGGTTAGCCCGGACCAGCCCTTAGTTAAGCTGCTATCTGATGGGGGTTCTATCTGATGGGGGTTCTGTCTGATGGTGGTTCTATCTGATGGTGGTTCTATCTGATGGTGGTTCTATCTGATGGTGGTTCTATCTGATGGTGGTTCTATCTGATGGTGGTTCTATCTGATGGGGGTTCTATCTGATGGTGGTTCTATCTGATGGTGGTTCTATCTGATGGTGGTTGCCCCTGCAGTGGTCCTGCTGTGCGCCTGGCTTGCTACTCACAATTACTTGAATTATTTCTGTCATGTATTATACATTGTTCATGCTGTACACACGGCACCATTGTAGTCTGTCCATCAGGAAAGCGATTTCTTCCCTTTTTTCCCCATGGAAGTTTTTTTTCATTGTTTGGGGAGTTTTTCCTGTGCCGATGTGAGGGTTTCGGGACAGAGGATGTCGCATGTGTATGTGACTATAAAGCCTTCGGAGGCAAATTTGTCATTTGCGATTTTTTGGCTGTACAAAATAAAATGAATTGAATTGAAGGGTGGAGGAAGACCTGAAACCACAAACTAATTTTTACAATGTTTACTGAGGTAATAAACCAAGAGAGAAGTAGAGAAAAGTCATTTTCTCATAGACTTCTATGGGACCAGAGGAGCCGCCCCCTGCTGGTCACTACACAGAATGCAGCTTTAACACACAAAGCTTTGACTCCACTTTTTAGAACCAAAGGTTGCCGCCCGGTTGGAAGTTAAATAGACAAGAGTAACCAGAATACATCTTAACATAACGTTATAAACCACCTTCACTTAATATATATTTTTTAACATCTCTTGCCGTCCCTAATTGTGTCAGCTAGCTTAAAGCCAGCTGTGGTTGTGATGAGCACATCTGTTCTCTGCTCTTACACTTATTACTCATTGACCTCGTTCTTATCATTTCTCCGCTAAAATAAGTAAATTGACCGACCATAAAAGCATTTCAGGTCCAGATTCTCTTCATGGATCACATTCCGGTAATCTTTAAACGTGTTATCATGGATCGCCTGTGAGGAGAATCGAATAATATCACAATATCATATGTGTCAGAACCTGAGAACCATAAGTACGTTCTCAGAACGGCACTAATGAGATGAGGTGGATTATTTCCTTATTGTCCTTATTTCCATTAGATGGTTTACTGAGTTGATAACACGTTTGGATAACGTGTTCCTGAGTAGTTCACTGCTCTGATTCACTTCAGGGTTAAAAGACACTTTGACCTCGTTATTACGCGACTGATTTACAGCTTTCAAACTGCACGTTGTATTCCAGATGGATCAAACTCTCACTGATCCCTGCTTGATTAACACCGGGGGAGAAACAACTTTCACTGGGGGGCATTCGTATGATACTTCTGATTGAAATTATGTGGCTCTGGCATGTGCCAATTCATTTATTTATTTTTTATTAGGGATTTACCCAGAATTTCCATTGGTCACTAGCAAGGCACCAATTACCTTTCTTGATTTCTTACAGAAAAACCACATCGTATAAAAAGTAAAGCAAAATATTGATTAAATCTAAAGACCAAAAACTCACAAAAGAAATACAAAAGACAATAAGCTGAAAACAAATGAAAAGAGAAAAACATCCTTACAACAATAATCAAAAATGAATAAAATAATAAGAACAACTACTATGTGATACATGCAGTGACAAACATGCATTAATATGCTGCAAAGTACATCAAGAACTGTGTTTATAACTGGGATCACAAACAGGCACAGCACAAAACACCCAATTTAACCATAGCGCACACGCACACGCACACAAACACGCACTCGTCATTAACGTTCTCGGGCGCGGGGGGGGGGAGGCCGTTCTGCCGGACCCAGAACGTTCCGCTGCACGGCTGGTACGCACCCAGCTGCTGTGTTCTTCGTATTTGGTGTCATGGCGACACCGCGCCCGCCTCCGGTCGCCTCCGACCCCCCAGCGCCGATGTGCGGCCTCCGTCTCACACTTCTGTGTCGGTGTGCAAGATGTAAATTAAACCTACAGCTCAGTGAGCAACCAGGAAGTGAGCGTTTAATGTTAAACAATGAAGGTGTCACCGACAAATTATATTTAACATTATAACCAAAACTGTAAATAACACCTATTTCTGTCCCACTCGCAGGCAATTCAGGATAATATAAGATATCTATCACAAAATAATATTCTGTATAAGGGATATTATGGATATTACGGGTACAGAACCCGGTGTTTGGGGAAGCAGAATACGTCGTTAGCATTTTGCTAGCATCCGGCTAGCCAAACCTTCCTCGTGTGCCGGTTGGTAGAAGCTCCACACCAGGCTGCTGCCTCACTGGGACCTCAGGCCGACCTGCAGATCTTTTGTAGTTTCTCCACCAAAGTTCTCCTGCATTTTTCATGCGTCTGTGACTCACTTCTCTCACGCTTCGATCAGCTGATCTTTCACTTTCGCTCGTTCACCTCATCCGTCTCTTTCAGAGGCAGGATTGACTATTGGCCTCCGTCACGGCACCACCCGCCCAGTCTCCCAGCCCGGATTCATCACCCCCACCCCCTCTCTCATTCCATCAGCCTCATCAGCCTCATTAACCACCTCCACCAGTGTCTGGACGGGGGATTTATTGTGCTGCTGTTCGGCGCCGATGTGCCTTATCACATCATGTGCCTTATCTATCTCTGTGAAGAGTCCATAAACTCACATATCGTCTGATTATAATAAACTATCATCTTTGTTTCGTTTCACTGCAATAAATCACGTGAAGACTTAAATGCAACTGATGCCGACTGATAACTTCTGTTTAGTAATGCTGGAGATAAATGTTGAATATTAGTTTAAATATGAACGTTGACTACATTCCCAACTTGTGAGGAGAAAAGACTCTGATTGTGTATCAGGGAAAATAATAAAGAAGAATTCCTCCGAAGCCCCGTCAGCTGCTCACATCTTTGTGAATAATTGTTGCCAGACGACAGCAGCTTTTGTGGATAAAGTATCACAGCCGATGATTCAATAAGAGGCATATTTCATAATATTAATGGCTAACTCAAATTAAACATACGTCTTAAACCAGCAATTTGCTCTACAATGTGGCTCAAATATTTGTCCTACGTGTTTTATAAAGAGTCGTGGACTATCACGCCTTTGTAATCTAACTTTCCAGAGCTCTTCTATTCTCCCTCTTTGACTTTTGACTTGTGCAACTCCCAGAAACGTGCATGTGTCTAAAGTGTCACCGGGTGGAAAGTATTTCTACATTTTCCTGAAATCAAATCTAAGATGGGCGTGAGCATTGTCCGCTGACCCGACCAATGATAATAAAGTTGTAAATAGAACAATAAACATGGTGGCTAAAGTCTCCCTTTTATCTGGACCTCGTGTCCAGGTGCGGCAGTGTGGGCGGAGCCAAGACTTTAATTGGACCCACGAGGTCAGATGACAAAAGGTTACGCTCGTAAACTGGTGCAACTTTTAATCAGATTTTTCCACAGCGCTTTTACAGCACTTTTCATTATGTTTTTGCCCAAAAAGCATCAAAATTGACGGTACATTCCTGTAATTTAAAATGACGATCCTGACTCCATCTGCATCTGCAAGAAATGTACTACAGCTCATTACTTTCCTCTGGAAAAATTTTTTTAATAATATATCTGTCTATTATTGCTTACATATAAATAAAAAGCTACCTAAAAAATTACACTCCAATTACACAGTAGATGCGTCCGAGTCTGAAGTCAGGAGCTCAAAAGCCAATCAGATATCAAAGCAATAATGTGTTTGCTGCAGGAAATCATTTTCTCTCAGCAGCCCCAATGTTCCGGTGTAAGATATGAATCCTGCACACAACAGGAACCATCAGAGATGAACGGTTAATAAATGAATTAAAAGGAGTTTGTGTTATAAACAAACCTGATGAAAAGAAAGTGACAAAACTGCATTTTAAAAATAGTAATTTCTTTATTTTACAAATATTGCATAGAGTCTTAAATACTGAATGATAACAAATGTTTTCAACGCTACATTGAACATTTAAAATGTATTATTTTGTAAATATAACCTTTTATAAGACGGCCTCTCTCATGCACCATAAGAAATATAAAAATACGTTATGAGTGTGTGAACCACCCATAGTTAAGTCATAGCAGAACTACACATTGAAAACGTCACATGCCCAGAAACAGCAGGTTCCACACGCGCTCTGCAGCATGAACCATGAGAGCCGCGTCGCTGACACGCCATCGCGCCGCCCAGAGACGCAGATCAAACGCCCCCGCGTTAAAGCCGCGCCGCACTGACCGCCGAGTCCTCGTCCCTCGCCATGGCGGGGTTGTCGTACATCTCCAGACTCTTCCTGCCCTGGTTCATCACCTTCTCGTCCTCCTTCTTCCTGCAGCACTTGCAGCACTTGCAGCAGCAGCAGCAGTGTTTGCCGCAGAAGCCGAAGGCGGAGGTCACCACGGCATCCCACGGCGCCAGGGAGCGCATGGGCCGCGGCAGGAAGTCCCAGCTGCGGAGGCAGTGGGGCAGGAAGCGGACGCAGTGGGACTGCATCACGTTGACGACGACCACGAAGACCGCCAGGGCGACCAATGGCACGCCGACGCCCACCAGGACCTGCCAGCCCGCCACCGACAGGCCGAAGACGGTCAGCGGGAAGACCAGGAAGCACACAAAGAGGTAGAAGGCGGCGAACCAGCGGTACTTGGCGGTGCGGTTGCCGAGGCCTCGCGCCAGCCGGATGGGCAGCCGCGTGAAGGGGATGGGATACCACAGCAGGATGCCCATGATGTTGAAGAAGAAGTGGCAGAGGGCGATCTGAAGAGAAACCAGGCGGTGAGATGGACTTTGGCAATGAGAAGCTTGTTCACTCTAGTGGTTTATTGTGTTAGCATGCTAACATTTTACAATCAGTGGTAAAAAGCACAGAGGAGACTGGTAGTTCTTTAGTTTTGATGGTTTGTTGATAACCAGTTGTATTTCCCGTATATTTAAATATATTTACAATAAACAGTATTTTCTTTATCGTGTGTATTCTGGTCAAATTTTCATTTTTTTCAGAGTTCATCCTCTGGGGACCAACGGTATCAGAGTTCATGACAATCCATTAAACGGTAGTTTAGTGACGCTGTGGATCACCATAGTCTGTAGGATTCATCGACTGGGGACCATGAAGGTTTTTCGCTAGCTGCTAGCATGGCGAATCACGGCACCACAAGGGAACCGTTGCGCCGCGTCTCACCTGCAGCGAGTTGGCTAGCGTCTCTCCGGGGCTAGCCATAGCAGCTAATATAGCTGTGGTCGTGGTGCCAATGTTGGAACCCAGCGTCAGAGGATACGCTCTCTCCAGGCTAATGACGCCGATACCTGGTTGAAAGAAGGTGGACCAGATATAAATCACGTTGTTAAAAAAATAAAAAGAAAGAAGAAAAAATGCCACGTTATCGACGACCCACCGACTAGAGGAGTGATGGCCGAGGTGAAGACGGAGCTGCTCTGAACGATGAAGGTCATCCCCGCCCCCACGAACATCGCAATGTAGCCGGTCACCCAGGCGAAGGGGAAGGGAAAGTCTGTGGCCAACCAGAAGCACCGGAAGGTGAGCAATTCGCCAGGTGAGCTCAGGTGTGCCGACCATCAAATTGGGGTTCTTTCCTTACCTGTGTTGAGCACCTTCTTGATGACCACAGCCACCTGTCCCTTCAGCATGGAGTTGAGCAGCTTGACGATGAGGATGAGGCAGGTGCAGAGGGTGAGCAGGGACAGAGCCAGGAGGATCAGGCCCACCGCCAGGTCTGGCAGGTTGGTGCCGGCGAAGATGTGTTTGCCTGCGAGGGTCAAAGAGCGGGTTGATTCGTTTAGCGACCGCTAAATATCGCCTCGCTCCAACCTCTTTTCTTCTAAACGTTCACTCTCTACTTCCTTTCTGAATAGGTCTCAATGTTCAACGTGTAAGAAAGTTTAGCCCCGCCCCCTAACACCTGCGATCTCAGGTAACACGCGAACTTCAACGACTCAAAGGTAGAAATTCATTTTTAACCCGCATTTCATACAAAGATCTAGGAAATCTGTGAGGCTACGTTGAGTAGTGACGCTCGTTACCCAGGGAGGCCTGGGTAGCGGTGGGGGGGGGGGGCTTCAGCTGAGTCACCTGCTACAGCTCAAAGGTGGCCATTGTCCGAACATCAGAAGGTCTGGATGAAGGAGCTTGTTGTGTCTCATATGTCACCGAGCCTCAGTGGATCAGATAATCCTGACTGCTTTGTAAGGGGGGCGGGGGGGGGGGCGCTGTTCTTCTTCTCCCGGCGCTCACACACTTACATTTCTCTTGGTAATCAGTCCAAGACGAGTTCATCTGGGTCCAGGTCAGGTTTCCCTCCTCCCAGCACAAAGCCCCAGCGGTGCAGTTCTTCACCGTTTCATTCCAGAAAGTCTGCAGGAAAGAAAACAGCTTTAAATAAATAACTAAGAAGTCAGTGACGATCTTTAAATGACCACAGCCGATATTCCACCTCTGATCAAACAACACCTCTTTACAGCGCGATCTGACAAGGCAACCCCTGTGGCCGCGATGCTTGGAGGACATTAGCAATGATTAACAGGAGGAGCCGAGGCAACAATAGCCTCATCACATGTTTTTACTGCCACCGCCTCGTGTCTCAGCGGGTCGGCAAACTAACAATTTAGGCGTGTTCTTACCGTGTTGGTCTCTGTTTTGCACCACACTTTGATCAGGCTCTTGTTCCTGGCTGCCGCGTCACCGGTGGCGATGCCGGTGATGACGGATTTATCCAGCTGGGGGAGAACACACAATCACGTAAAAACCCGGTAAATAAAAGACCTCTCGATGTTCAACGCCTGGTGTTCGCCGCACGCACCTGGATTAATGAATTCGGTGACCG